GCAGAGATTGTTTGGATTGATGGATTGTTTATGGAATTACAAAATGAAATTCCTAAACCTATTCAATTATACTGTGATAATATGGCTGCTCAACATATTGTGCAAAATCCAGTTTTTCATGACAAAACAAAGCATTTACGGATTGATTGCCATTTTGTACGAGAAAAATTTCAAGGACTCCTAGAACCTAAGTATATATCATCTGGTTGCCAAACTGCAGATATCTTTACAAAGGCGCTGGGAGCAAGATATCATCAATATTTTGTTTCCAAGTTAGGACTTCTTTCACTAGCCAAAGTCCAACTTGAGGAGGGGATATGAAGATAAATATAATATTTGTAATATTGATGTAATCAGTTAGATAATACTGTTAGATAGTTAGTTAGCATAACTGTCTAAAAATACAGTATAAATACTCTTTACACCTTTCTAATTGAAGTGAGCTCATTTCACATAATCGATCTACCTACTTACACAAATCCACAAAAGTATTTACAGTGGATTATTTTGGAACGTGACATGTCAATTTCACCGTGGCATGCATGTGGAGTGACTTAGCTACTCAGTTGGCTATTTTTGGGACAACTTTATTTGGATAGTTGAAATTTTTATTTGTAACTTCTTTTTATTTGTGCATAATTGTCCAACTAAATGTGAGTAAAACTATTTTGTGTTCTTAACTCTTAATACTATATTTATATGAGAATAAAGTTTTGTATAAATATAGCTACTAACAATTACTACTTGTATCCCATTTTAGTTAGCCACCATTGACTTTTTTAGTCAATGATGATAAACTTCGGTTAATCATTTTAACACCTATATTTTAGTGAAAATTATAAATTTTATACCTTTATGATAGTATTTTAACAAAGAAATTGTTTACATCATTTTCGTATTATAAATACTTTTGTACATAAAGATATCATCGATCAAAGTTTATCATCTTTGACTGGAAAAATCAAAGATGGCTAACTAAAAGGGAATGAAAGAAGTATACACACACACACACACACATGTACACACACACACACACACACACACATATTTATATACGAGTATATATTTAGCATGTTCTTCCACTATAAAAAAGAATACTAGGATTTACAAGGATGTATTTACAAAATTGACTCACTCAATGGTGGCTCACTCAAGCTTGAGAATAGGAACTTCACAAGCTATCTTTCTTCTTTCTCAAAAATGCTCTCTAACTCTCTTGCTTTCTCACTCTAGGAAGAAGATTCTCTCTTGGCTAGGATAGTTAGGAATGAAGGTCTCTACTCCTATTTATACTACTCTACCTCCATAATGAATGGTGGAGAGTAGTTCTCTAGAATGCTATACACATGTCTACATATTCTACAGAACTTCAAGGAATCTTTACATCTCTCCATTTCCTTTCATATGCTTCCATACTCTTCCATAAGATTCTTAAAGGTTTCAAATATCCCCAAAATATTCCAAAGGGTTCCACACTCTTCCATAAGCTTCTAAAGAGTTCTACACTTCTCTAGCATTCTCCAGAACATTTTAGAAAGTTTATAATGTACTTCTCCAGAAAGATTTAAAATTTTCTAGATTCTCTCCAATTACGAAGGGATCCCAACAAGTTGTATCTAGATAGAATGCAGAGCTAAAGATAGAGAGAGAAATATATGTTGTATTAATGAGGTACTCGATCGAACTGTCACATATCCCTAAGTGGTGCTATTTATACTAGTTGATAAACCACTTTTATAGCATTGTAGTAAAACGGTGTTTAACCCTTCTAGCTAGACAGGAAAGTTTATCCTCGGGCTTCATGTCTCATAGGAATAGTGAAGAGTTTTTTATTTTATTTTAAGTCGTGATTATCGCAAATTATTGAAGCTTTCTTGATTAAAAGATTTTTATTCATTGACTAAACTATGATTTTTTTATATCATCAAATCCAACTCTTATATTAAACCATTAGAAAGCGGATCGTTACAACAGACTCAAAAAGATCAACCCTGACAAAAACAATCCCTAACCAACTATCGCAATCAACCCTATGGCTAGACTCTGAGAGGATCGCACCTGAAAGAGCAATGTGAATCGCTAACCACTAAGCGGGTGTGACACATCAATCACTGGAAAAAATAGATCCTTCTAATGACATACTATCTAGCAGAACTAACAATCATTATTGTAGACCCAAAACTAAAGACCTCAACAAAAAACGAAACACCGTAAACAAACATAACACAAAAATAAGACCATAAAAATAGAATAACTGACAAATACTCCAAACTTCTTGAAATTTCATCTTCCAAACCCGACATCTCGATCAATCCAAGGCGGCGGTTCAGGAGGGAGACGGACCGCCGATCTGTATTCTCCCTTGCTCAGCCCTTCGTCGCTCCCCGTCTATTCATCACCCGTGCCGAGGGCCGGAACCAAATATGTCAACCCCTGATCCGTGGCTAGATTTCCAATACCCCCGATTTCCATCTTCTTATACTGGCCCCCAATGTTTTCCATACAAGACTCTCTTTCCTCAGACAGCTAAATCGAATTCTCCCATTGGAAATCTCTATCTGCTCCGTTCGCTGCTTCATCTTCTTGGTACGCCCGTCAAATACACCACGAAGCTGCCGGTCCGAACCAGAAACTCTTCACCTACCTCCCTCGTCGCCCCACCTTCCGAATCCTTAATGCCGAAAATAAAATAGATGGCCGGAAATCCAGCCCCGCTCCTCGGCGTAAGCCGATAGGGACGATCGAAGCTAGCGGTTGGCCTTGCGGCAACCCTAGAAAGAGATAATCTGACGTCAGCACCTTATTATGTTGTCTAAATTATGACATTTTAAATAAAAGAAAACGTTTATAAAATTATGCAAATATTAATGATGACTCTAAAATAAACGGAATAACAAATCTAACTTCAACGTCATAAGTGCACAAGAATTCAAATAAAGTTAAGTGGTGATAAATTTTAAATGATAGAGGCAATTAAAAGTATTAACCTTCAAAAGGATTGGTTAAAGAAGGGAAATGAATTTGAAGTAACGGTTAAAGAAGGGAAATGAAATATATATTTTTATTGGATCTAATAAGTAGGATAGTTTATAGCTAAAGGTTAGACTAGTAAATTCTTTTCATACAGACAAGAATAAAATTATTTTAACTAGGTTGGCCTAAATTAAATTTCAATCCCACAAATAAGATAAGGTAGAATTAACCTTTCTAGAGCTGTCGAATGGGCCAACCCGACCCGACCTGACCCGTAATGGGTTATTCTTTTGTGTGGGTTGGGTCGGGCCAACCCGTTTAGTGACGAGCCAAAATTTCGACAACCCTAACTCAATCCATCTAACCCGTGGGTTAAACCGGTTGGCCCGCGTGCCAATTTAAAATATATATTCCGTATGATACAAGATTTTTTAAAAATAATTATTACTAATATATTTATATTAGTAATAAGTAGTAATAAGGGAATATAAGAAATCAAAATACTAAGAACCCAATAATTGTTAAATTTAATTAAAAATATTAAATACTAGTTATACGAGAATTTGAGAGGGTATGTGACAAAATTAGTCATTGTATATAAGTAAAGATATATTTAAACTTTTTGATTGATTATTTGTAAATCATGACTACTAATTGCTAAATATTGTATCGAACTTCACATAAAATAATGTTTCAACATTTTATTTGAATATTTATTATAGAGATAATAATTATTTTGCAATGGTTGTAATTTTTAATTGTAATTATAATAATTTTAATGATAAAAGAACAATATTGAAGATAATAAAAGTCAAAACTATATGTTTGTATATTGACGGCTCTAAACCTTTCATGCAAGTTCAAGCTTGTTGGGCATGAGTTGGTGTCTTGTTGCTTTTTATCCCAATAATCCGACATATAATTCTGTAATTGGTTGAACTTGAGATCATGAATTTCCAAAATAAATCTTTCTCTCATATTTTTAATACAAAAAACATACAAACAAACACAATGGCCATGCAAAAATTAACCCTTAAATCGAGTTTGATATTGTTGACTTTGTGGTAATAAATATTAAGATTTAATGTTTCTTCCTAAAAGCCAATATGGCTTGAGAAGTAGTCTAAATCCTGTTATACATATAAGTTTGTCTTTTATTTTTCTAACTTGGAATGGCTTAGCAATACACTCCTATTAATACTTATATAATTCTCTATCTATTTCATCACAAGACTCATCACAATAACTTGTTGCTTGAATTTTTGACATAGTATATTGTAGCTTTGAACATGTACATATTAACTTTAAATTACAAAGAATGCTCTAAATTGTAGCTCTATCTATTGTTGTTGTTTTATTAAATTTAACTTATTGCTCTAAATTTTAACTTATTGAACTTGCTCAAAGTTATGCAGTGCATGCTTAATTAGATGTGATTTATAATCTATCTGTAGTGGATATGTCATGATTGGAGTGATGATCATTGTCTGAAGTTCTTGAAGAACTGCTTTGAAGCACTTCCGAATGATGGGAAACTGATTATTGCAGAGTGCATTCTACCAGAACAACCAGACACCTTCAGAGCAGAAAAAGGTGTGATCCAATTTGATATCTCCATGTTAGCATATTCTACTGGCGGGAAAGAGAGGACAGAGAAAGAATTTGAGGTCCTCGCTAAGGGTGCCGGTTTCAAAGACTTTCGTAAGGTTTATTTCGCTCTCAACACTTGGGTTATGGAACTCTACAAATGAATGAACTAGATCATTTTGACCTTTATGATTTAGTTTTTCTACTCTAACTTTAATTTTTACAATAAATGGACATGTTGTGGGAACAACAATGAAAGAATATGGGGATGAGGTACAACCCAATAATAATGTATAATGTGTTAGTTCAAATGCAGTGTTTGATTGATATAATGTACACCTTGTTTGTGAAAGTGGGCAATTGGGGGCTTACATTTTTCATTAAAACTAATCAAAATGGGGGTAATTATATGATAAAAACCGATTAACAAGGGCCTAGAAGCTCGGCATTGGCATTAGCACGGACGTGATATTCAACTTCAGTACGTGGAGCGAGGGACTAAGCGCTGCAAGATAGATTATCAAGATATAATATTAAATCTAAATTAAATTACATAAGCATTAAATTAGTGGAGAAGCCGGAAGAGGAAAATCCACTCCAGTTAGCATGAGCAAAGGTGGTGAGGAATAGAAATACCCACGATGCATAAATAAGCTATGGTAAGAAATGAATTTGAGATATTGAAGGATGCATTTACCAGCTAGCTAATGAGGCATAAGAGTGTCAAGCACAAATTGAGATAACCGAATAACATCAAATGAAATATGTAGACAAGTGAGCTCAAAGCTAGCACTAAAACAACCCCAATAAGTGGCGGTAGTTCAATTCGTGGGATCAACTGCTTCAGATTGATCAGCAACGGGTAGCTTATGTGAGAACAACAACATAGAGTCGAAACCGTCTTGCAATCATCCTTACGAAAAGTAGATAATACTCCCTTTGTCTCTTAAAACTTGGCCAAATTTGATCGACATGAGGATTAATAAAGTACAAACTGTGTGATTGAGGTTTGTGAAGAGTAGAAAGAATTACCTCGAACCAGAAATTCTTTACTTATAGGCGAATGTGCAAAGTTAGTAGGACAACCAAAAAAGAAAAGTTGACAAAGTTTTAAGGGACATAGAGAGTATATTAATAACCTAATATATTGGATGTAATACATAAATGCTCCATAACGGGTAAGAACAACTTCCACACCTAAGAAATGATTAAGATCTCCCAAATAGTCAAGAGGAAATCGGTTACACAAAAGTTGAACAAAATTGACTAGAAAAGAATCGTCATTTGTCCTGAACACCGATCATTAACATAAATATAAAAAAATAAATTCTACTGAGGAAATATATAAAATTTGTAGCATGAGCTTTGGATTTGACAAATAAAAAATGCAAGAGATAATGCGATAACTTAACATACCAGTCTTGAGGATCCTCCCTAAGAGTTGACCAAACATGGCCTTCCGAATCTTACAAATATGAACAAACCAAGAAAGATTCTAATAACCAAGTTGTTGATCTAAGTAGACTTCGTCATACGAAGATTCATTGAGAAAGACATTAATATCCAATTGGCGCTCAACCCATACATTATGTAATGTAAGTGTAAGAATGACATAAACGGTGATTGGCTTCGTGACTGGACTAAAAGTCTATAAGCAGTCACAACCAAATTCTTGATAATAACCCTTGTATACAAGTCACGCTTTGTAACGATTTACAGTACCATCTGATTTGCGTCAAATACGAAACACCCATTTGGACTCAACTATAGAATGGACAAGGCATGGAACTGAATCGCAAATATGACTACGAAATAAGAGTGCAACAAAATATTCACCATTCATATCTTAATGCCATAACAGCTCCCTCATTGATTGAGTAACATATTTGGGTTTAGGGGTAGAAGAAATGGGATGGATGGTGGAGATCGATCGAGATTCATAAGGGAATGGCCATAGTAACATGTAATTGGATGGAGGGTACTGGTAGAAGAGGGATAAGGGAAAAAGAGAATAGAAAAGGCAGAGGCTAAAGGGTGAAAGGTTGGGAAAGATGGCAACTGAATCAGAGGAGAAGAATTTAAGGAGTTAAGGAGGTTGTTGAGGGAGATCTATATTTCTGCGTGAGGCAGAAAGAGCTACACACTCTTGCAACAAAAAAGAAGTCATACATGCATTAGACATGCACATAATTATATTTGTGAGTGAGCAAAAGCATCTAGAGACTCATGAGAACTAATATGTGCATGGAGCAAGCACGTGACAAGAAGGAAGTTGGACGAATGATGCAAAATAGAAGGAGAGCGATATGCATGTTTTGTAGAAGGGGTGAGAGACGATAAGAATATATTCAATTTCCGCCACAAGTAGAAATGATTGTAACACCACGGCCCCATAGAATCCAATGTTGTTACTCCTGAATGTCATCCAGACCTGGTACTGTCCCTACACACCAACACAAGATTTTACTGCGCACTTTGTCCTCACTCATGCGTGCCCTGAGAAACTTCTACTGGATCACCCAACCTAGTACTACTTTTGTGCAAGTATGCTTAACATGGAGTTCTTAGAAGATGAATCTTGGTGGTATGATTATTACTATTAGTTCTTCTAAGCTAATCTCAAGTATTACAATGATGGGCATATATTCTTCAAAAAGTTGATTCAAAATAGGGATTAAAAGATACTATCCTCCGTTTCTTTTTAATCGTAACATGTTGAATTTTACACTATTCACGTGTTCTACTTTGACTACATTTTACGGTATTATTTTACGAAAATTATTTTTTAAAAAAGATATTGTTCAATTCATCTCATTACAAATTTTCAAAATCTGATTTTTAATTATTTTTAACTAATAGAGATTAAGATATAGTTACGGTCAAAGATGTGCGTTGGCAAGTGTGAAATGTTGACCGTTGCAACTAAAAAAGAACGGAGGAAGTATGTGATAAATACGGGAGTTTTAGCAAGACCTAGATCTGTCGCGATGTCTTGCATGTCACGAAGATACTTTGAGATAGAGGGGGAGCAGAGTGGATTTTATAATGGGCAATTCTATTCACAGCCTCATCTTTGCTAACTACAGCCCCTTAGTTCCGTTTTGGATAAAATATATTTCATAATACCTATTATACCCATTCTTGCAACGTCAAGACACTCCATCGTCACTCCCGTCCTCAACCAAAAAGTCCTCTTCTTTCCACAAGTACAGCTGCTGGGCAGAGGTGTGGTCTGTGTGACCCAAATAACAAAAATAACGCCAATCGATGATTGAAGGCTACTCGCCTGTGAGACTTTGATCTTTGAACACTAACCTTCCTCTGCGCCCAAAGTAGTAGTGAGCGGGGATCTAACCACACATCCGGTTTTGTGGGTCTCAGTCGCAGGCGGCTGTCGGTCTCCCATCTCAACGTCCTCATCTGCACACCGTCGTCTTCAGCAGCTTAAGCTAATTAAGTCCCAAAATTTTAACTCTTTCTCCTTCTGCGACCTGAACTGCTGCTTACTTTTTCTCTTCTGGGAGATTTGTTTACTTTGTAGAGTCTGAGGTGGGACTTGAGATTGTAAATAGATTATTATGTGCTTCGTAATTAGCTTATACTCTTGTAATAGATGGGAATGTGGGATTGTCAGGTTCCCTCATAGTATGTGGTGCTTGAAGGCTGAAGGTAAATCTATTTACAATCTCGAATGGAGCCTTCTTTTTAATCAAGAATTCACGGATTTCATCAAATTTGTGTTTCCCTTATTGCTGGCGACGTGTATACAGAATAAATAGATAAATCCTGAACGATTCCATCTCTGCATGTGATTTTACGCTCAGTAAACTGTTATTAGTTCAAAAGTTTCCGGATGTTATTATAGCTTGCCTTTGAGAGCTAAACGGGGGCTGTACTTAGCAAAATAGAGGCTGTAAATAGAATCTCCCTTTTATAATAGCTTGCCTTTGAGAGCTAAGACCCCACATCTTGGATTTTGTTTTAAGCCAACACATGTATACCATAATATTTTTGGAGAAAAGTGATCTAGATCTCTTAGAAACACGTTCTAATTTGTTCTCCATCAAGAAAAATATAAAACTTCTCTCAGAGGACAATAGCCCACGTGTGTAGTTCTTTTCCTATCTACCACTGATCAATTGTCTATAAGCTAGGAAATATACCAAAGTTTCATCTACTGAATTACCATATTGCAAATTGCTAAATTCATTGAAGTTTTGGCATACATCATTTTAAAGATGTTTTTACTTAGACTGTTTTCATTCCCAGACCAGATCAATCGAGACCAAACCAGACTTGGATAGTTAAAAAATACACAGATTCTAGACATTTACCAGAACGGCCACAAATTTTCAATCTAAGTAAAAAAAAAAACCTTATACACTATGGTACTGTATGAAACTATATTGATATGGTTTCAATATGGGTTTGCAAAATATTCAGCATGAAATCGTTACAGTTTAGGTATGGTTCAGAATTTTGATATTAATGTTTGCCGAAGGTTCATTCTTTGTTGGCCAAATACTATTTATAAACCTAATAGTTTGGTAGGGAAAATGAGGACATGAGGGTATCAGGAGAGAAGCGACTTGGCAATTCCGCCGGCGCTGAAGTGGGCAATGATGGGGAGATCTGGAGGCGGTGATTCCAACAATGATGGAGAGCTTCAATTTTCTTCTTTGGGGATCTACTAGCATCATTTTGTCGTCCGGTTGAATCTAGTAATGGGAGGGATTAATCAGTGGTCACTCTGGGGGTCTCTCAAGTCTCAACCCAGCAGCACTCATTCGGATGCTAAAAGGCCATCGCCTGAATTCAGGCCAGTCAGGCGACACTGTGGCTACTCAATCAATGGGAAGCTGATCGGCTAAAACTTGCAAGTGTACAAGTGTCGATGTAGTAATAAAACCAGGAGCAGAAATAGTATAGGGGTGCTTGTTTGATAAGTTTAGAGACGTGTGTATATGTTAGGGTAAATTCCCCTCCTCTATTGATCACCCTTAGGGAAGATATTTATACAAGTATTTATCTACAATAGAGCCCTTAGCCAAAACTAATAAATACAATTAAATTAAATTAATTACAGTGGGCTAAGCCCATAATCAATACGCTAATACCCCCTCTCAAGTTGGAGCATGAGGTTCAAAAATGCCCAACTTGTGAAGAAGATAAAGAAACTGACGCTTGCCCAATGCCTTAGTGAAGATGTCTGCTAATTGATCAGTGGTAGAGACATGACGAGCAACGAGCAATCCCGCTTGAATGGCATCACGAACATAATGACAATCAACCTCAATGTGCTTGGTACGCTCATGAAAAACAGGGTTATGAGCAATGTGAAGAGCCGAGTTGTTGTCACAGTATAGAGTCATAGAACGTGGATGATCAATACCCAGACTAAGAAGAAGCCCCTTAGCCCATTTAAGTTCAGCGGTGGTAGCAGCCATGGATCGGTATTCTGCCTCGGTGGAAGAACGAGATACAGTATGTTGCTTCTTTGTCTTCCACGAGATAGGTGAAGTACCCAAAAAAACAATCCATCCAGTAAGAGACCAACGAGTAAGTGGACAGCTGGCCCAGTCGGAGTCACACCAACCTGTAAGAGTTAAGTCACACGTAGAACTGAGAAGAATGCCTTGTCCAGGAGTTCCTTTGAGATAGCGAACAACCCGTAAGGCCGCTGTCCAATGATCCTGTCTAGGAGCCTGCATAAATTGAGATAAAATATGAACAGCATAGGCAAGATCAGGCCTAGTAAAAGATAGGTAAAGAAGTCGCCCAACTAGACGTCGGTAGGCCTCCGGATCAGCCAGAAAATCACTCTGAGAAATAGCCAAGTTATGGTTCTGTTCAATAGGAAAATGCGTGGGTTTAGCCCCAAGCAGTCCAGTCTCCGAGATAATGTCCAGAGTATATTTTCGCTGGCAAAGGAAGATGCCATCAGCACTACGAGCCACCTCAATCCCAAGAAAATACTTCAGAAATCCAAGGTCTTTCATATGAAAACAATTATGCAGATAAGATTTAAATCGAGCAATAGCACTGCTATCATTGCCCGCAATAATTAAATCATCAACATAAATGAGAATAAATAATTGAGCCGAGCCCTGTGTCAGTGTAAAAAGAGAATAATCAGAATATGACTGCTGAAAACCATACTGCTTCAGCGAAGCAGATAATTTTGCAAACCAGCATCGCGGGGCCTGACGAAGACCATATAATGACTTCTTTAGTCGACAAACCTGCCCAGGCCGAGAGGAACAGAACCCAGGAGGCGGTTTCATATAAACCACCTCATCCAAGTCCCCGTGAAGAAATGCATTATGAACATCCATCTGATGCAATTCCCAATTTTTAGCGGCAGCTACAGCTAAAAACAGGCGGACGGTGACCATTTTAGCAACAGGAGCAAATGTTTCGGTATAGTCTATGCCTTCTTGTTGGTGGTTGCCAAACACGACAAGACGAGCTTTAAAACGCTCAACGGTTCCATCTGAGTTGTACTTAATTTTGTACACCCATTTGCAACCAAGAGCCTTTTTACCTGGCGGAAGCGGTTCCATTACCCAAGTCTGATTATTTTCCAATGCCCGAATTTCACTTTGCATAGCATCACGCCAGCTCTCACTTTGCATAGCTTCCTTAAAAGATTGTGGTTCGTGGCCTGCAAGTATAGCTCCAAGAAAAGATCGATAACGAGGAGAGTACTTGTCACATTTTAGAAAATTAGCTATAGGATACGACATACCTGAGGAGCTGATGGAAGAGGTGTGGGACGGGGATGGGCTTAAATGTTGTACATGATTTGTGACAAAGTCCCGTAGTCGAACGGACGGACGCCGAGAACGTAATCCACGACCGAGGGGTGCATCGGCAGAATGATCTTCTTCGGTAGCTGCATGTGTATGGTCCGCGGCAGCAGCTTCAGCTGAGACTGGGAGGATAGCTTCGGACTCATTATCAAGTAAAGGAGGACTCGGATCCACATCTGGCAGTGAGGCTTCAGCATTTTCAGGAGGAATAGCCGAAAAAGGAAATTCGTCCTCATGAAATATTACATCCCGGGACACAAATATTTCTCCGGTTGCCCAATCATATATTTTCCACCCCTTTTTACCGGTGGGATAACCAACAAATACCCCGCGACGACTTCGTGGGGAGAACTTATCGCCACGGGAATAAATATTATGAGCATAACACAGACAGCCAAACACGCGTATATGAGAAAAATCGGGGGAAACGCCATGCAAAATCTCATAAGGTGTCTTTCCTCCCAAAAGCCCAGAAGGTGTACGATTAATTAAATGCACGGTAGTAAGAACACACTCACCCCATAAAGCAACAGGCAAATTTGCTTGAAACATCAAGGCACGAGCAACATTTAAGATATGTCTGTGTTTGCGTTCAACTCTCCCATTTTGTTGGGGTGTATGAACACAAGATGTTTGGAACAGAATGCCATGAGTATCAAAATAAGGGTGCATGCAATTAAATTCAGTCCCATTATCGCTACGGACAATTTTGATGGAAACATTGTGTTGTTTTTCAACCATAGCAATAAATGAGAGAAAATAATGGTGAACCTCCTTTTTATCACGTAACAAATACACCCAAACGGCACGAGAAAAGTCATCCACCAAAGTAAGAAAATACACAGCATCACAGGTTGATGGAGTCTTATATGGGCCCCACAAGTCACAATGAATAAGTTCAAAAATTCTACTCGATTTATTATTACTGACAGGAAAGGAATCACGCACTTGTTTGGCTTGTGGACACACATCACACGACTTATTCAAAGTTTTCGGAAGAGAACTAGAAACAAAAGTAGGTAACAATTTGAGGACCCGATCAGAAGGATGACCCATTCGACGATGCCACAGCTCAAATGACGAAAGTGTAGATGTCTGGACAGCATGCAAAGTCGGCACCTCTCTAAAATAAAATAGCCCATCCCGCCTTTCACCTGCTCCAATCAGGTTCCTCGAGCGTAGGTCCTGTATAGCACAAAATTGATTAGTAAATGTGACAAGACAATGAGACTGATCTGTCAATTGTGAAACCGAAATTAGATGACAATTCAGTCCAGGCACATAAAGAACATGATCCAGATGTAGCTCCCTAGATAATGATACTCGACCAGACAAAACCGCACGCACAGTGCGCCCGTCTGGAAGACCAACCGGACAAACAGGAATAGGTCCGGGATCAATAAGACATGTCACGTCGCCCGTAACATGTTGAGAGGCCCTTGTATCAATAATCCACTCTACACAAGAGTACTTACCAGACATCCGGTCAGAAGAGCGAGAATCCATATTAAGGACACTCAATATGGCTTGCACCTATTCAGTAGTCAATGGAGGCAGTCCAGGAACACCTAAATTCTGGGAGGAAGAAGCCCCTTCCCCGGTTGACTGGAGGTTTGAGTTGATTGCATGGGTCCTAACCGCCCCACCGCGGTTAGCAGAAGAACCCAAAGCTCCTTTGGGCGGTGTTTCTCTTCCCACCAGTCTGGATAACCGTGTAGTTTGAAGCATGAATCGATCTCATGCCCCTTTTGCCTGCAGTGAGTGCAAACTGGACGCGGACGGTCAGTTTTGTCTTTGTCCTGGCGACCCTTTGGAGCTCGATCAGGCTGAAGGGCGAAGGCATGAACCTCAGCGACGGACTGTTTTCCTCGTGCAATGGCCCTCGAGTTCTCTTCTTGTTGAAAAGCCTGTAGCGCACGATCAATATCGGGCAAAGGATTCTGGGCGAGAAGATTGGAACGCACCGTGCCAAAGATTTCATCATCAATTCCAATTAGGAATTGATGAAACCGTTCTTCTGCTCGTTCGGTAACAATTTTGCCCACAACGTCGCAGGTACACCTTCCACACGAACAGGCCGGTAATGGCTTCAGTCGGTCGAGTTCATCATACAAACTCATCAAAGCCGTATAATAAGCATCTACCGTCATTGTTTTGGTCTGTTTACAAGCTGAAATTGAGGCCTTCAATTGCTGCAACCTTGGACCGTTAGCAACACTGTATCGCTTTTCAAGATAGACCCAAAGAGCTCTGGCTTCTTCGTGAAACGGGATAGAGACGACAACCGTGGGTTCCATGCTGCGAAGAAGCCATGAAACAACCATGGAGTTAGTCGTTTCCCAGTTGGAACGCTGTGCCTCCTCCGCGGGTTTCGTGAGAGTGCCATCAACAAACACATGTTTCCGGCGAGCTTTGAGAGATAATAAGATAGCCCGAGACCAAGCGACATAATTATCGCCCCTAAAGATGATATGAGTGATAAGATTCCCCGGTTGATCTCCCGAACCAAGGTAATACGGTGAAGTAATGTCCACCGCCATAGCTGCCCAAAGAGAGAAACCGTACACGCTGGTGCCGGTAGGGAAGAACGAAGAAAAAAAATCGGTGAACCAAGACCTTAGTCTGATACCATGATAAGTTTAGAGACGTGTGTATATGTTAGGGTAAATTCCCCTCCTCTATTGATCACCCTTAGGGAAGATATTTATACAAGTATTTATCTACAATAGAGCCCTTAGCCCAAACTAATAAATACAATTAAATTAAATTAATTACAGTGGGCTAAGCCCATAATCAATACGCTAATATTGTTCGAGACAGCCAGGAGCTTCTTGGAGATGAAAGGTTTGTCACGGTTCAACACACTTTTCGAGAAGGTAATAGAAGTGCGGATGTTTTAGCGAATGCGGCTCATGCAGCGCCTTCGGGACTTACTATTTTTCAATCAAGAGGCTCCTGCATGGATAAAAATTCCTCTTCTTGAGGATGCTAATGGTATAGAGAACATTAAATTTTAATTTCTTCTTTTTAGTTTGTCTTTCTTTTCCGATGTATTAAAAAAAATGTAGTAATAAAACCGGTAAAAATACCGAGTCGAACACGAGGAAACGTTGTTTATATGATTCAAAGTCGAGAATAGTTTTGGTAAAAGACTTATCAAACGAGTAGATATTTTTGGTTTTCAAGTGATAATAAAGGCCAACCAAGGGATCAGGATTACTCCTAAATGACTCCTAGCGATGAATATATGTTCTTTCACCAATTCTTATGAGTGGAATGTCGCTAAAGTATTCTAACTCATGTTACGACAGTGAGATTGTTATTAATTCTACGTGTGAATCTTGTCACGGTTCACATTCATCTAAAATTAACCCCAATGAAGATGAGGACATTATCAAAACCTCTATATTCAATTGAGGTATATTTCTATCCACAGTTGGAATATGTCTAACCTCTAAGTGCACGGTTTATAATTCAACATGAATTGCTCAAATAAACCCAACGATATAATCATACGTTGTACACCGTAGTCGTACACATTAAAAATATAAAGGAAAGATCATAATAATTTGGTTGAGAACATAGATCAAACACCTAGAGTGCGTAAAGTTTCTTCCCTAACCTTGGCTAAGGAAAATTAGCTAGAACAATTCATAATGAAATTACAAGTATTGAAATGATAAAATTACAAGTTTCTGCCCTTTAAAATTATTGCATCCTCACTCCAGGAGCTGAACGTCGGGCGGCTTTTGTATTTAATTACCCAGAATTAATCTGCGGCAACGAACGTCGGTCGTTGTTCATGAAAGTCGGGCAGCTTTCGTCGTTCGTTGCTCCGGCACTTTTCCTCTTCGTTAGACGGCAATTGGATGGCTAGTAGGTGAAAACCGGCCAGCATTGGTGAAACCGGGCGGCTTTCACCTCTTTTGTTCATTTTTCCTTGCTTGTTTGTTCTTCGGGATGCGTTTGGTTGACCTTTTCTTGTCGGGTTTCTTCGTGTGTATACTATCATCCTCGTATTTGGTCCAATCGTTGATTAAAGTATTTCTTGCAAAACAAGGCATATGTGTGAGGATTTAATTCTTTTAAGTATAAAAACGTTTATAAACAATTGTATAAAACACGTTAATAAAACGCTTATCAAACGCTTATCAAAGCATATTAGGAGGCAAAAAAACAAGGGGGGTTAGATTGGGGATGACAACGTTCAAGAATGGTCTGCCAAAGGAAAGCCAGCTCCGCCAAAGGCTCAACAGAAAAGGGAGATTGCCGGTGGAATCATTCTCAACCATGGATTTTGGCACTGAAGCAGGGATTCTCAATTCCGAAGATGTTGATTTGGGTGCATCAGCTGATTTCATTTGAACTGCAAAAAATTAGAATTATTCCAAGGGGTTAGGGAGTATAAACGGGGATATTATTTTTATTAATAAGATTGAAAATAAAACTTTCAGATTCTTCAAGAAAGATTCTCTTTTTTTGTATTTATGAATTTTAGAAGGGTATTAATCGCCAAGTTTCACTTGGACCAGAAGCTTCCATTTGGCTAAGAGAATCGCTGTTGAGATTCGGAAATGGAGGATTTTCGATCATAGGAAGTCCACAAGGTATGAACCCCCTAAATCATATACGCTCTTTTACGATCAAAACAAGTGAGGTGGATTCTTTCGCTTGGTAGGGAGTACACAGAGGCTAAATTCGTTTGGCAAGGCATTGATTGTAAATCCAGAAGGATGGCATAATGACTGTTTAGCTACATTTTTAGATGGTTTTCAAAATTTGCTAGACAGAGGTGTTGAGGTTTTCAAGGAGCTAAATTTGCACGCGGTTGAAACAGAGATTAATCCTCGAGACTTTGACCTCTTTGAGTATAACTCTTCTCTATCTAAGACTTTATTTCAGGCTGATTTGCAAGCTTTCAAGGAAAATACTTTTAAGGAACAAAGCAACTTAGAGGAAATTAAAGCTTCTTCTGGGTTCGATGGCTTGAGCGAAAGGCAACACATCACGCTTAATTCTGGCCCAATGACATGCCAAAATGTGTAGTGTGAAATGGTGTAAAAATGTGAATGGAAATGATGTTTTAATTGGCTTGTAACGATATAGTATAGAGTAAGTGAGTATCGTTCCGCTAGAGAATGGCTCAAAAAGAGAACTAGAATTAATGATTGATTTTTAGCTGATCAAAAATTGATAACATTTTGCAATGGAGCTAAGTGAACAGATTTTTTATCTTGTTTTTATAAATGTGAAATTGCTAGGAAATAAAATAAATCACAATACTTGATAATTTAACAATTAATGATATAGTGAAAATTAGGCTTGGGCTAAGAGTAATTTTATTTTCATGTTCATAATAATAAAGATTTAACTGATTAACTTGGTTACTTTTAGGTGTGTGAAAGATTTTCAAATGGTAATCTTCTAATCGTTCCCACGACTTAGTTGATTACACTATCTTAAATTAATTCCGCTCCCGCGGTAATTTTATTAAGACAGTAAAAAGTACAAAATCAAATTATCCTAAATTCCTTAACACTTCCGTGTAGCAATTTAGTGGGTGAGTTAACTAAAGGGATTTTTAATGAAACTTCACTCCCGTGATAATATTCATTTCCCAATATAATGTATTTAGCAGATTAGAACATTCAACCCAACACCCCTAAAATTAACCAAGTAAAAGTTTTAACCAATTATTATCATATGAACATTAACAGTAAAATTTACATCTTGCCCAAACCTAAACTAATTTAGTTACACATAATTACAGTAGACAATATAGAAGTAAAAATTCATGCTAGGCATATAATTAAATTAACAGATTAAAGAAATTAAAGTAGTGTTTAAATAAGAACCTGAAGGCATAAATATTCAAGAACATAGAAGAGCTGGAACAGAAAAGATTGAAATCCTCAGATTAAGCTGGAACTGATTAACTTCGAACTGATATCTCCAAATGAACTTTATTGTTGAAATATATAGAACTGAAATTCTGGAATGGAAATTACAAACTGAATTTTTACAGAAAGTGTTCCTGAAAGAATCACTTTTATTTTATTGCTACTACTATGAACAAAGCTAAAGAAAGAAGAGGGAGATTTCTCTCCTAATTGGTGTGTTTTTGGAGCTCTCGAATGGTTCTTTATATAGCAGAAGAAGAAGGGACTAAGCATCAAATATCTTGCAATTGAAGATGCTGAAAATAATTTTTGGTTGGCTTTTACTTCAATCTTCATGAGATGTGATTGCCACCTTCTTGGTTTCTTTATGCAAATAGTATCATCTCTATTCAATTGTGCATTTTTTTCTTCGTTTGCCGCTGTTCTTGATCTCTTTGATTGCAGATTGAAAAAATGATGAAGACAAATGCAGTTCGTAGGTCCCTTCATTGCCTGGCTTCATCAATAATTCAATACGGAGTATATGTACTAACTCCTTTGTATTTCTTCTTTTTTATTTCTACGGTGGAGCTTTATTCACAATTTAGTGAATACTGTTGTCATCTAATCAGCCAGACTTTGGCTCTTTTCCGGCATTTGTTGTTTTGGCCGGTTAGCTGTTTGATCAGTTAACTGGTCAAATAGTTAACCGGTACATTTTATTGTAGACAGTCTGGTTTATTCTGAAATGAACTTCGGGTCTCTGTATAAATATTTCGGAGATAAAGTAAGGACTCGCTTCACTTTGATGATTGTTCCGAATTATCCTGAAACTCAAAAGTATACCAAAACAAATGCAATACCTTAAAATGTCCAAGATGATAAAGATCAATCCTTTTTATATAAAAATGAGAAATAAAGTATTAAAAGTGTGACAAAACAATATCATAAATATGGTAAATTAGGAGTACATCAACTCCCCCATACTTAAGATTTTGCTTGTCCTCAAGCAAAAATATTTACATTTCACACAAGCAAACGAGCATGCAAAAATGAATTGCCAAATCATATGTGTAATCCTCAAATCACGCACACTTTACTTTCACTCCACCTGGTCAATCAAATTCCCTTGACTTGTCACAAAATAAGAGTAGTGAGAATCATAAAAATATTTTGCATATCATTTGAAATGTTTTGGTCAAATCTCAACTCTAACAAACACAAAGTGTGTGGTGTGAAGATGGAATCTAGCTTCATTTATTCAATCATGCAAAATAAGATTTTCCTATCAACTTATTTCAGACAAAACACAATTAACATCAATTAGGACTTTTAACATTGGGTTATAATGGGGTCTGTGGGACAGGCTTATGAACAAAGGGAATTAATGAGGAAACAAAAGAAATGAACTTGACATAAATTTAACAAATTTAGAGAGGTACTAAGTAGTGAGTAGGAGCTTTTGACAATAATCTGTACAACACTTGTTATTTTTAACAGTTAGGGGTAGTAACTAGTAAAAAGAGTAAATTAATGTACAAGAAAAATATATAAAAGAGAGAAGCATATACATGGATAATTAGCCTTGTTTAGATTTTTTTTTTTTTCATTTTCCTTTTTTTCAGTTTTTTTTTTTTGACTTTTTTTTTTGTTTTTGATTTTTTTTTTCAAGGCTTTTTAGTGCTTCTAATCATAAGAATTTACAAGAACAATATGTATAATGATGATACAACAAGAACAACTACCCCTATAAATGAATATTAACAACTAAGTAATCACAAAAGTGTAATTATTAAAGCTCCCTAAATGTGAATGACACTCTCTAAACTCATTAAAATTTATGCAAGTCATTTTAGGGTGGTTGGAAAGTGTTTGGCTTTTAGGCTAAGGGTCACATATAACAGGTTTTATGAAAGAAAATAAGAAAAGCGGGGTTAAGCGTATAACACTTATTAAAAAAAATGGCTCAAAGGGGGTGAACAAAGGATATTTATCACATGGGTAAGGCTAGGTATATGGGTTTATGAAAAATGGCCTATATCATTTCCTAATGTGCCAAGTCAGAAAATCATGTCAAGGAAAATAAAAGCACATAGCACTCTTGTTTTGCACAATTTTAAACATATTGAACAACAATTCACTAGATAACCATTTACGTGCATGAGATGTTTTGTGTTTGTAAAAAGTTAAAAAAAATTACCAAAATTTTACTCAACGCTCAAAAATTATGATTCTCAATCCAATTATTAAGAGACAAGTCCCGCCAACCTTCCACATGCCATGTGAAAGAATAGAATGCATGATTTGAAAGTTATACAGATGATAAGGCAATTCACAGACAAACAAACATGCATATTCTCCCCCCACACTTAGGATGAAACATCGTCCTCGATGTGACAAATATATACAGGGCGGGTGAGTAAATGGGTGGGAAAATAAAATTATTCAATGCAATCACACAAGCAAAACACACATTCAAATGCAAGTAAATAAACTTGGGTTGCCTCCCAAGAAGCGCTATTTTTAACGTCGTGTGCCCGACATTACCTGATTGGTTTACCAATAAGGAGGATCATCCAGATGAGCAACGACTTGCTCCTTTGTGTCATCTCCTTGAGGATATTTGTTAACTCTTTCGCCACTGACAACAAATTTCCTCCCATCACTTCTGCTCTCTTCAATTTCTCCATTTCTCCTCCCTCACTTAAGTGTTTACAACACCTTTTCTTTTTCACACGCTCCACTAACTCTTCATGCTCATGATTGTTTTTTACTTCCACTACATCACAAACCTCCATAGGATCCTTGTGAAAGAATCCCATGAAGTCTATCACGGATTCATCAGCTATATCAACCCTCCAACAACTTTCCACACATGCAGGATTTGTCATCGTTTGGAAAATATTAAACTCAACCCTTTCATCCCCGACTTCGATTTTTAATGTACCCTTTTTAACATCAATGATGGCACCAGCAGTGGCCAAGAAAGGCCTTCCCAATATGACAGGTACTCGCTCATCTTCATCCATGTCTAGGACGACAAAGTCACAAGGGATGAAATATTTTCCAACCTGTACAGGAATGTCTTCAAGAATGCCAATAGGATGCCTAACATATCGGTCAGCAAGCTGAATGGTCATTGAAGTAGCTTTGGGAATACCAAGACTAAGGCGCTTGCTCATAGAATAAGGGATAAGGCTAACACTAGCCCCAAGGTCACATAAAGCTTTGTTGACCATGAACCCTCCAATTATGCATGGAATAGTAAAGTTACCTGGATCCTTCAATTTTTGTGGAAGTTTCTTTTGAATGATAGCACTGGATCCCTCGCTCATTGCTACGGTAGCTTTCTCCTCAAACTTCTTCTTGTTTGACAAAATTTCCTTCAGAAATTTGGAATATGAAGGCATATGTTTCAGAGCATCAAGAAGCGGGATTGTTGTGTTCAACTCACCGATCCATTTAAGGAATTTATCCCTCCTCTCATCAATTGTGTTCTTCTTTGCTCTTTGAGGAAATGGTAAAGGTGGAGCATATGGTTGCACTACCTTTTTTAAACCTTCATTTGCAGAAGAAGTAAGATCTTCTTCATTATTTTCCTTTGATGGTGAAGCCTCCTTTTCTGAAATCTTTTCTTTCTCAACTATAAGTGGTGGATCAGAAAGTTGTTTTCCACTCCTTGTAGTGATTGCACTGACATTCTCCCTGGGATGTTCAGAGTAGGCAGGCAACTTGCCTTGAACTTTACTAGTAGATGGTGAAGCAAAACTAGCAATCTGGCTCTCAAGCATTTTGTTGTGAGCTTGAATTTGATTGAGTTGAGTGGTCAGTTGAGAGAATTGATTAGTGATACCTTGCATCATTCTCTGGAAGTCATTAACTCCAACAAATTGTTGTTGTTGCTGAGGTGGTGGTGGTGGTAATTGTTGTTGCAGTGGGTACCCTTGCTGATTTTGAAATCCAGGAGGTGTTGGTTTGGATGAATATGGTGAATTTGCTGCACCTGATGGGTTACTCCATGAAAATCCTGGATGTGTCTTCCCTTGAGGATTATAGTTTCCTTGATATGGTACTTGAGGTCTACCATATATAGCATCGACTTGTTCAACTGTGGGTCCAGAAGGAACATTTTGTGTACGTTCAAGAAGATTACATTCCTTAAAAGAATGCCCTCCTCCACAGAGTTCACAGAACAAAGCTTGAGCTAAAGATGAAGATGGATTTGTTGATGTGCTAGAAGTTGATGATGATTGCTTCTCAGTGAGCTTTTGGATCATGTTTGTGAGAGAATCAACCTTTGCTGTTAAAGCTGTTGTTTGGTCAACCTCATAAATCCCTGCTCCTAGCTTTTGAGTGGATCTTTCAGAATACCATGAAGAACTGTTATTACAAATTTTCTCAAGCATCTCTTTGCCTGTTTCAGGATCAAGCTCCATGAAAGCTCCATTAGCAGAGGCATCCACAACAATTTTAGAATTATCATGTAATCCTTCATAAAATGAGACAATGAGATCACCCATGCTCATATTATGATGTGGATATTGAACTTGAAGATCTTTAAATCTCTTCCATGATTCATAAAGAGATTCTGATGGTTGTTGTCTGAATTGTTGGATCAGTTTCTTCATTTTTGATGCCTTAGAAGGAGGATAGAACTCCTTCATGAAATCTCTATGCAACTTCTCCCATGTGTTGAAATAACCGGATGGTTTAGAGTTCAACCAACTCAATGCCTCATCCCTCAGTGAGAATGGGAACAATCTGAGCCTGATAGCATCAACAGAGGCTCCATTAAGTTTCAGAGTTTGGAGAACTCTCAAGAATTGTTTCACATGGCTCGTCGGATCTTCATTCTTTGATCCGCCAAATTTGTTGGCTGAGACCAATGAGATAAGTGCTGGTTTGATCTCAAAATTTACTGCATCCACACCTGGATAGAGAATGCTATCTTGTTCCTCAATTTCACCTGCAACATAATCAAGAAGTCTTCTGCCATTTTGTTGTTGTCTCATGTATTGCCCTTGACCTTGTTGATTTTGTGGGTGTTGGTAGTATTGGCCATATGGGTGAGGTTGGTATGGGTGCATAAATGGAGGAGGTGGGTAAGGATAAGGGTATGTGTATGGATATGGTGGAGGTTGGTTTTGGTGAATTTGGTAGTTTTGGTAGGGGTGTGGTGGATAAGGGTTGGGTTGTGTTAGAGGAGGAATTTGTTGGAAATTTTCAAATCCAGGGGGTCTTTGATCTTCAAAGGAAGGATTGTGTCCATCTCTAGGAGTATTAATGGGTGTATTTTGTGGTGGCGTAGGATTTGGAATTAGGTTTTGGCCATTTGGATTATTGGGATTGTTTTGAAGATCCTCCATGATCTGATCTTGAATTTTAAGTTCAAGGGTTCTTGCCTTTCTTCTTTTCCTTAATTCTTTTTCAAAATCAAGGTTAAGTGGTTGCAATCCTTCACTCCCTTGAGAGCGAGTATGCATACACTACTTTTTTTTTTGGTTTTTTTTTTTGTTTTTTTACAATTGGAAACTAAAAACAAGTGATGATAACAGGAAA